CTTAAATAGAATTCAACCAAACTCATTTTTTTTTAACTAAAAGTTAAAAATGTTTTCTTAACCGAAGAACTCTCACTTTAATGAACAGAAAATTTTATTGATTAGAATAAATTATAATAAATTAGACAACTGATAAAACAATTTATAAATCATCATTTTTAATAAACTATTAATTATAAAAACCACTCCTGTGGTTTTTCTACTGATGTTACATATCGTTGTAAATTAATGAATTGCTGTTTTGTTATAATTTATTTACGTTTCACGAAGTTTTATGTTGCAATGTGGGAACCGTAGGAAGTTCGGATTGAGTTGTATTTTCGTGTGCACTGTAGAAAATGTGCTTTACAATAATAAGTGTGTTACTTTAATAATTTTCTTTGGATGTTAAAAAACTTGTTCGTTTGTATTTTTTAACATCCAAAGAAAATTATTAAATTAACATATTCCGTATTTTCTACCTTAATATATATTCGCTACAGTTTTTTATTCTTTTTTAGGTGAAAACTATCAGTACAACTCATAAAATTTAAAATATCATAAAATTAAAAATAAGGAGAAACAAAAAATGGCTAAATTAAAACTACAGTAAAAACAAGGTAAAGTATGTAAATATGGCAAAGATTTGCAATGAATATACAAATAAAATATAGAAAATTCTGGATTCGTACTTATGAGTCATAAAAATATATTTCTGTGTAATTGTCTCCGCCTAACCGAAATCATGTTTAATTGATAATTTAGCTATATATTTTTGTTAAATAGATTCAGTTCTCCAAGATTATCAAGACAAAAAAAAAAAAATACTTTTAAAGGCCCTTAGAAAAGCAGCTGAAATTTGCAAGGTCAAATAATATTTCAAATTTTTCAAGGTCAAATTTCAATTTTTATAATAATAAAAAGAAAACTACTTTCAAAAGTAAACATAAAAAACTTAAGATAAATTAAGATAAATCAAGATACAATTGGAGATAAAATGGAAGCAATATTAAAACGGAAAAGCCTCATTTTAATTTAATTCTTTTGTTCAATTTAATTTTATTTTATTTTGTACAGAGTTTTTTTGTTAAAATTAAAATTTACAATGAAATAAATCGTGTTGATAAATAAGAGAGCTGGAACAAACAGAAGACATAAATTGTCTTATTATCAAGCCCCATCATAAAATTTACATTAAGAAATCGTCAGTTAATATACAAAAATGAAGAGTAGCTAAGTACATTATAAGAATTTTAAACACGTTAGTTACAATATAACTAATTATATAATATAAATATTAGTGTTGAAATATAACGCATTATATCAAAGATTAACAATATTTTAAAAGTATTAAAGTTTTTCCACAAAAAATTAAATTAGATTAAAATTGCAAGAAAAAGAAGTAGTGTCAATAAGTATTTTTTTTTATAATTTTTATTTGGGATTTTAGTCACGTGACTTTTTATTGCGGAAAAAAAATGTTGTTTATTTTTAAAAAATTTCGTCCAAAAAATGCAAGAAACAATTATAGGTAGGTATCGAAGAATGAAAACCCACCCATGAAAATTCCAAATATAAATACATATTTTTTTCAAAAAAAAATGTAGAACATTTATTTAAGTGAAGACTGACATTTTACTTTTGAATTGAAAAAGTTATTTACCTTTAAATGATTCAAATTTGTTTAAATACCAGTAAATTTAAATATCTCATCCGTCTTCACATGAAAGTAGATTCTGCAACTATTTATTCATAATGTGTAAGAGTTTTTAATTTTTTTTCTTTTAGTTAATTAGGGTGGGTTTTTCATTTTATAAACTGGTGATTTGTAGTACTTTTGCCGTTTTACTTACATAAGTAAGCGCAGTCGTAACTATTGCCGATTTCTTTGTTAGACAATTTTTTCATGTGATAAAAAGTGCCTGTAAAGGATTTTCATCTTTATAAACATTTAAAAATCTATATTATTTTTATAAATATATATAAATTTTTATTATTTTGTAACTTACACTGTAAGTTACATATTTAACATTGTATATGTTACTTAAAAAGTACTTGTATTGTTTTGATAAATAAATAACTAAATTGTTACTAAATTTTAAAAATGTGATTGATTTTAATTATTGCAGAGCGTTAAAACTGATTCAAATTTATATGTTTGCTTGACTTCTGGAAAATTTCAAATTTATTTAGATAAAATGTTTAATAAAAAAAATTACAATTGGTATTTGAAACTGAAAGATACCTCCTACAATGCAGTATATCGTATGTTTTGTGTTAATTTTAATGTTCAACTTCTTTGCTGTAAAATATTATTAGCCATGAAGATAACTTGACTAGTTGATAACATAAGAAAATTAAAGAAGCAACGCAAAAATAGAAAGTTGGCATTGTTATTAGTTGAAGCCTTTATTCCACATGTGACAAATTTTTCTAATAATACATCAATTAGATCTGAAATTCCTAAAGAAACTATCCTAGTAAGTGAAAATAAAGAAAATGCTCAAGTAAGAAAATAAAAATTTAAAAAGGAAAATTGAATCAATAAAGGATTTAAAATTGAATTATTTTGCGCATTTAAAGGAATTTGAAGATATGTCAAAGAATGTACAAATGCTTGTTTCAAAAAACTCTTTTATCGAAAGTGAATTGTGAGAAAGAAGAAAAACTTAACATTTTTGAGAACAATTTTAAGTCAATTAAGTCAAAGAAAAAATCATTTAATGTGAGAAATTTAAATAAAAAAGTAAAATATCGTGATGCTCAATTGGAAATAAAAAAGATTAAAATTAATTCTTTAAAAAAAGAAACAAAATGTAAAATATCAAAATTAAAAAAAGAAATCAATCTTATTAAATCAACTCTTGAAGGTTCAGATATAAATATTTCTGAATTAAAAAAAGAGATACTGAAGATGTAAAAAAAAGTAAGTAATTTAAAAGTTGCTCTACAAAATAAAAACAACTATATTAATGAAAACAATATGAAAAATCTCAAAAGTTTAAAAGAACAAGTTGCAACATTGTATAGTTAGACAAATGTTTTAAAAGAAGAGAATCAAGAACTTTATAAAGTGGTTTCTTTGTTAGATGATGAAGAAATAATAACTTTTGAAGATGGTAGATGGTAGATGAAATTCGAGAAACCATCATAAAACTACTTTCAATAAATGTAAGTATGAATAATGTCAACGAAGTCATTAAAGTGGTATAAAACAAACTAGCAAAAAAAAACATATCTAGAATGCCATAAGCTGTTGTAAAGTGCAGATTAATGCATGAAGCTTCAATTTTAGGTCAGTTTCAAGTTGCTGAAGCAATGCTTGAAAGTAATTTGACAAACAAAAACTCTAACATTGGCAATTATTTGCATGGTGATGCTACTCAGAAGTATCATAAAAATTATCAAAATTTTCAAATTACAACAAAAAGTGAAAAATCAACGTCTTTCGGTTTGTCAGAAGTGGTTGGTGGTGATGCTGCCACTGTCTTGCAGAACTTTACTAATATATTAGATGATATTTGTGATGTTGTGAGCAACTCTACCATGAAAAAATAATTCAATTTTGTCAAGTTAACAACATCAATTGAATAAACAATGTCTGATCTTGGTCCAATTAATCCTCTATTTAATTTCCAATTAAAAGCATTAAGAAAAAAAACTTTGCCAATCACAATTAATAACTGGGATTTCCTTTCTTCAAATATCAAAGACAATATGATGGATACGGTCATTTTTTCTGCAAACTCCATCTGCCTGCTAATTTTGCATCTGAAACTGATTAAGTTTTAAGTTCTTTTGAAAAAATTCTGTTAGAAGATAATTACGAGAATGTTTTTGGATTTACTATTAAAGAAAGTGGTGCTGCGAGGTTAATTCGTTACACATAAAAGGCATTTAATTCAAGTGGTAGCGAGGAAGCTGGTGTTGCTTCATACTTTAATTCTTTTCGTTCCTGTCGTAACAAAAACTTATTGTTTGCTTGATTTATTGGAAATTGTTTTAATATTTTCTATTATAATGCAACTGCTTATTATTATTACAAGGATGTTATAATAGAATTTCTTAATGCATGGCCTAATCTAAATAATAGAATTTTTTAATGCATGGCCTAATCTAAATAATAGAATTTCTTAATGCATGGCCTAATCCAAATAATTTACCAAAAGCTGTTAAGCAAGATATTACAAGTTTTATTGAAAAATTACTCACAAGTCCTCTGTGGCAAATTATTGAATCACATGATAGCGTTTTGCTTTCGAACCCCTACCTACTCCGCTTGAAAATTAGACTTTCAACTTCCTGTAAAGATGCTTTTTCTTTGTTATTTGCAAATATTAAAGAATACTAATCTTCTTCATTAAGATTTGGTTTACTGCAAACTGTTTGAAAACACACAAAATGATGAGCTTGATTCTTTGACTGTGTAATAACTTAAAATTATTTTCCATGCTATTCTTATCATTTTGGAACGTCAGTGTGTTGATCAGTTACCAGGTGGCAAATATTGGAATTCGTCTAATTCAGATGTTGAAGGAGCTTTTAATATCCCTGTTACTAACAAAGCATCAGAACGTGACTTTGCCATTTTGGATTTAATAGTATTCATAAAACCAAATGCAAGTATTCAAACTTTCCAGGCTTTGACAATGTGGTCTCAAAACCCAATTTTGGAACAGCTAAACAGTAAAATAGATGAAGGAAGAAAAGAGTTACTAAATTATTCAAGAACCAAAGTACCAATAATGAGAAACAAGTATGATGAAAGAAAAGAAGCTCTCAAAAAAGACAAAGCTATGCGTATAATAGCAAAGCAATAAAAAAAAAATAGACAAGAAATTAAACTACACCAAAAAAAATTGCAGCTTGTAATAACTTAGTAGATTTAAGTATGGATTTCATTGGAAGAAGCGGAAGAAAAAGTTTGTAATATGGAAGAATCATTAAAATTAAAAGTACTCCTTGCTCAACTTAATTTTTATCGCATCATCTTAGGTGTGGAACGTGACAAAAAATTTTTTGTAAAACAAAGTTAGAAGGAACCAAAAGAAGAAATTTTACTTGGCAGGAATTATATGAAAATCTTATTATTGTCACTAAAGCAAATTTAATTTCAAAT